TCTCCCCCTCTCTCGTTATTTTTTTAATCGACCGCGCCCAGCCCTTCGCCACCACTCGGCTTCCGTGCCTCGTCAGGCCATCGTCGCGCGTCCAGGCTGTAGGAGCACCTTGATGACGGATCGATCTTTTGTCTATACTGGGTTGCGAATAAACGACGCACTGAGGCCTTCGTTTATCCCCGATAGGTGTATCTAACAGACGCACTACGGCCTTCTCCTAGATACCGTGACTTCAAGACGCACTATTGGCCTTCTCTCCGACACTGCATGTAAAGACGCTCTAATGGCCTTCTTTATCACACGTTAAGAACATCAGTTCCCCCTCAAGATTGGCTCACCAATTCAATACTCAATTCAACAAAAAATAATGATGAGGTACATGGGGTATTTATAGATACCAACTATCTCTAGATCTATTCTTACTAGGAAACTAATTAAATAATTAAATATTAAATCCTAAGGCTAGAAAATATCCTACTACCATAAATTCCTAAATCTACTAGATTTCCTAATATCTTGACTTGCTATCCAATTCCTTGCCTTGCACTCCAAGAACTTCTAGAAGACAAGTCTTGCGCCCCAACTGCTTCGGCCGCCCCATCGCACGCCGCCCTTGTACGTGCCGACCTTGCGATGCCTACTCCTCGCGGCGTTAGGCATCGCGCGCCTTTCCTTGCACGCGCGCGCGCACCGCCCTGCTCGCCTAGTCCTCCGATGACTAGGTATCGCGCGCCTGCTGTGCCATTCCTACTCCTTGTGGGACCATGCTTTGAGCCTATATCCACTATTCCTATTCCTACTAGGAATAGGCTCTCGGTTACGTTTCCTGATCTTCCGAGGATTACTTCTGTCACCAATCTCCTACGCGCATTCCGGCACTTAACTGCTATTCCTATTCCTGCGAGGATTAGTATTCGCGCCTTGCCTATTCCTACGAGGATTAGGCATGCCGCCTCGTTCCTGCATTGTGCCTCGCGTGTGTCGCCGTCACCCTGCGCGTGCGTCCCCTCGCGTGTGTCGCCTAATCCTACCCCGCCTAGGACGTCCGCGCTTGCACTATACCCACGCGCATGCTTATCGCGCCCGTCAATTGCTCTCGCGCCGATTGGCGCGTCCTCGCCCCTTGCACGCTTGCCGCACATGCTGTCGGCCTCCGTCCTGTTCGTGCCGGGTTCCCGTGCCCCGCGTGTTGCGCCCGACACTCCTACTCCTATCAGGTCGCGGTCTTCGCCCGTGCCCCAATCTCCTCCCGCGCACCCTCGTGCTCCCAGCGTTGCCTGCGTGCGGTTCACATAATGGCGCGCATCATCGCCCGATGCGCGCCCTTGTTCGTCCCATGCGCATCCGCGTACGTCCGCTGCCGTCCGCGCGCTCGTCTCTCTGCCTGGCACATAATCACGCGCATCATCACCTGATGCGCGTTCTCCGTATTCTCGTCGTGCGCACCATCGTGCGTCACATCCATGCGCATGTCCTTGCTCATCCGACCCCTTCGTATGTTCGCGCGCATCACGTCCTAGCATTCCTCGATCCAAGCTCGTCCGCATACGCGCTCGTACCCGTCTTTTAGGCCATGCTTGCATCGTTTTGGCCCCATTATCAGCCTTATCAGGTCGTCTCGACTCTTGGCCCTTCTTGTCACAGGGGTACGGAACCCACTTCCGTATCATTCCCCTCCTCTTCGAGACTATCCTTGTCCTCAAGGATTCATCATCGATCATCCAAACATCGGGCACATCTTCTTCGACCTCTAGGACTATGAACGTAACTTCCTCATGTATGCCCTCTTCATCCCCTTCTTGAACCTCGCCGATCTCTTTGTCTCCTTCTGTCTTGGCTTCTTTGAACTCGGCCGAGACCTCACCATCAACATCATCCGCGCGCTCGATCGCGCCACCAATTACGTCGGCTATGTCTGCTTCTTCAACGTCTATGCGTGTATCATCGGTTTGATCGTCGGGCATAGATGGGCCTAAGTCGTTGATCGCGACCATCACCTCTTCGACTTCGAGCACTTCGGTCCCTGCGATCATCATGTACGATTCCTCCTCATGGGCCACAACTTGTTGCTCTTCCTCCATGATCTTGAGTTGTTTTCCATACTCCTTCTTTTGCTCATACATCTCTTCCAAATAATTTTGCTCCCATGGGGTTAATTCCCTCTCCAATCCTTCCAAATATTCAAGATCCTCTTGATCCCACTCAACTAACGGCTCAAACATCATGATTTTTTTTTTTTTTTTTTAAGACTCTAAAAAAACGAAAAATAAATGGGGAAAAATTCGAAAAATCGAACCCCCAACAAGACTCAGAAATTCGAAACAAAAAAGAAATTCGGCCCCTCAACAAAAGGTAATAACCGAAAAAAAATCAAAGGACTAACAAGAAGACACTTTTTTTTTTTTTTTTA